AAGTAAAATGCATGACCAAGACCAAAACCAAATCAGTCTATATACATCAATAGTCATATTCAACTTGTAATTGTAGAACTTAAGAAGTTGGGCCAGCCCAGAGATTCTAGCCCATTTGATAACCACACATTTGATAGCGAGAATTTTTGGGCTATGGTATACTCAAAATGGGTTCAATTCTCTCTTGTCTTTTTAAGCCCATTGGTTTATGAGATCGAAGCGTATGAAATGGAAAATTGTATAGTTTTGTAATCATCGAAGTCTCGGAGAGTGAAAATTGAAGAAAAAAATCAATCACCAAAAACTACATTGTCATTTTTATAAAAAAAAACTCGAAACCAAAACGACACTTTTTTTTTAAAGACCAAAACTACATTGCTTCGGATAAAGTAAAACAAACAAATAATTATCAAACCACTCGTTTATCGGTGATTGAATCCGCGATCAGCACAAACCTGTCCCATTTTTGTTTCTTTTTTTCTTTAACAATGAACCAGTCCATTTATTAGACATTCTGGTTGTTTAAACCCCATATAGTAACATTCTTAGCTCTTTACATGCATAAATTTTGGTTATACATACACTTTTTGGTTTCTAAATAACGAACGGGGTTTGGGCAATCCAATGGCAATGTGTATGTTATTTTGTTAGGAGACGTATGTTTCAGCCCCATCTCTTGAAAATTTTACAAGTGATATATGAATGAATATGTGTGTTACATTTCTATTTATTAAATCTATCGACTCGAACGAATGAAGACGGTACGGGACGGAAAATTACAAATAGAAGATACTAGATAGACACAATTTCACCTGTTTCGTAACACATTTGTCCCGTCTCGCATCGACTCTACTCCACTCAAAGCTAGAGTCAATAAGATCACATAACCTTCTGTATGAACAAGAAGGTTCTGAGGTGGGCCCATTGGGAAGTTGATAGAATCATCCACAGTTCCCAAGGGACAACAAAAACATTAATCAATTCAAAAGGCATATTCTCCCGCCTGAGGCGTTCACATTATCTTCGCACACGTGGAGTCCAACGAATCATCCACGTCATCCAAAACCACACTAAACCACTTATAAGGTTTCTGGTAAAAGGCCAAAAGAACCGGATAAGGAACCACAGAGCCATGACATCCTCATTTTATAAAAATTTTTTAACGTAATTGCAATAATAATATTTATTTGTTTTGTCTTTCTTCTTCCTTGATTTTGTTACCATATAAAAAAAAAAAACTCTCATTAATAATATATTTTGACAATGACACCATCGTGGGTTCAGCTTATCTTAAATTCCTCGGGAATATAAAATCGGATGACATTTTGTAATTTATCGTCTAGAAACTACACATCATTTTTAACATTAAACCAAAGAAAATACTACTACACATAAATTGTGCTAAAATAAAACTTAGACGTATTTAAAATGTAATGAAATAGCAAAGTAAAAGCATTGGTATAATTTTCATTTTCTTATTCAAATAAGTTGTATAGGTTATTCTTTCTTTTTTTTTTTGATCACGAGTTGTATAGGTTATTCTCTAAGATACATTATTTTTCCTTTTGTGTTTGAAGAGTTGACTTCGCTTATGGAATGATAAATTACATCACTTTTGAATTGACCAAATTTCGATTTTGAGCTGATATGTTAAACTTGTAATGTGAAGTTTATCAATTACATTCAGCTTTGTGTGTATCAGATCATATAATATCCCATTTATTAATAATCCATTTTAAAAAAATGAAAATATTCGCACAACAAAAAAATTTAGACTATTTTTTCTGACTTGAATAAATAGTAGGTAAGAGGTGGTTAGGCTAAGAAAAAAAACCAATTTATTAGTACTGTGACCAGAAAAAAAAAAAAACAAATTATCAGTACGTTCTAAAATTTCTCACCACAAATGTATAAGTTTTTGTAATATTTGATTTTTCCAATATTTATCCAAACAAATAAACTAAAATAAGAAAAAACGATAACCTTTAAAAATTCCCCCT